CACCGGGGCAATTGCCTGCGGCGTGGGGCAGGGCTGGTGGGACAGGGTAGGGCACATCTCTGCACAGGAGTGCGACCTGGGGAGCTCCGAGGGCTCGTGGGGCACCCCCAGCCTCTGCCAGCTCTCGGTGTTGGTAAACGCATTCACCATCTGCACGAACCACACAGCATCACGAGAAGAAGTAGAGAAGAAAAGCGTTTCATACATACTTCGTCTTTGCCTCTTGCCCTTCACCACCTTGCTGCTGCCTGTTAGATCCATCGAGCTTAGAAAAACCACCACCACAAACAGTCCAAGCTGCATAGTAACTCTCCAGCGCTGCAGCTCCTCCGTCGCAGGGTGGTCGGAGGAGCCCGCTCCACAGCTGGGGATCTCGCTGCTGCCGCTAAAACGTCTCAGGCTGGATCAGAGCTGAGAGTCTGTGCGCGAAGCCTGGTACGGGACCATATCCACAAACTACATCAGCAACAGCGAGCTTAGGTAGCAGGTAACATGGCTCTACCTTCATCCCCATAAGGAGAGCAGGAGCTTGGCTCTAGTCCCATCTGGGGGCTCTGGCAGCCAGCGTTAGCTGCTTGCAGTTTCCACGTGCACTCCCAGGAACTGCAAAGGAAGAGGAGAACAGATTAACTCGACAGTCAACATCGCTCCCGTAACTGCTGGGCTCCTCGGCACCGTGGCGGGCGAGCGCAGAGGCTGTGGGGCAAACTGGGGGAGCAACGCACGGGGGGTGGCACCCAGAGTGGCGGCGTGGGGCGAATAGCTCTCCAACCGCATCCACAAGTCCCTGCCTTGCTTAATAACAGCACATGCAGAAATGCCTAACGCAGCTTTGCCGTCTGCCGGTGCCGCACACGGCCAAGCTGTAACTTGTTTAAAATAGTGCCAGGCCCCCTCGGCCGCCCTCCTCGAGCAGCAGAAGGCCTCTGCGCACTGCCAAGCACACAAGATGTTTCCCATCAAGCGGGCACCTCTGGGGCTGGTAGCTGAGCCGAGCAGAAAGCCAGCCTGAGCCCCAAGCCGGAGACGGGGCTGTCTGGGGACAGGGCGGGATTGTTTCTGCTCGGAGGGAATTTCCAAACCTCCCAGCTCCCATGCCCCAGGAGCGGCAGGGAAGGGTCAGCGCTGCCTGTGCCGAGCGGGGCCGAGCGCGGGAGCTGCTCTGCCCAGGGCTCGCTGGCTCTTGCACGGCCCTGCTGGTGGAGGATGGCTGGCGTTTGGCAGCAAGCACGGCTCTAAGCGCTGCGCTGCCCTTGTCAAGCAGCAGCAGTGAGTTGCCCAACGTGTGTGGCAGGACAGGACCACGAGACGGCAATGCCGGGAGGACAGGCCGGGGAACAAAGCCATTGCTCGTCATGAGCTCCTTGGAGGGCAAATAAAGCCAGGTGCCGCGGGAAATTGCCGTATGGCAGCCCAGCGCGCGGGGCACAGCCGGCTCAGGAGCCAGAGCGTGCCCCATCCTCGCCCTGCGGCGCCCGAGACCTTGCTCCTGCCGGCTGCAGTGCGCGACCCGGGCGCAGAGGCAGTGCAGGCAGGGCTGCTGCAGAGCAGTCGGCTGCTCCCCCGGGGAAATGACCCGGGAGGGGGTTTTCCGTGTGTCCTGCGGCTGGTGCACAGGACAGCCGGCCTCTGGGCTGCACCGAGAGCTCTGGCACTGCCAGGCAGGGCCACACTCTTCTCTCTGCAGCTGGCAGAGCAAAGCCTCGCCAGCAGCTGCCATTGTGTGGGAATAAAGGCGACAACATTTACTCTGTGAGGTCAAATGAAACAGAAAATGGTTTTAATCCCTTTATAATAACTGCGCAGTCGCCGATGCCCCAAACGGCCAGTGGTGATGGTGCTGGAACGAAGCCCAGTTGCAGCCCGCATGCTGCCGGTGGGGTGGACACGGGC